AGCTCCTGTGATCATGTTGGGGATGAAGTCTTTGTGTCCTGGTGCATCCATCAGTGTCACCACTTTAGAGTTTGTCTCAAACTTTGTCATGCCCACATCCATTGTAACACCTCTGAAGCACAAAAAGGGGGGGAAAGCCAACAATTCATTTTTTAACCATTTGATACACTTGAATATGAGAAAATTCTAGATGTTAATAGCGTGCTAAAGTGTCTGGAAGGCCTTATAAGGGAATCCAGATTTAAAGTCCTGGTCATTTCCTGTGTAACTGCATGTCTGGTGGGCGAGGCTCGTAAGTATTACGCATCTGCTTCAGAACTTAGTGATAAGTTGAATATGGATTCCCACCCATGTCACTTTCTGTTTCTGCTGTATTTCGCTTCCGTTTCACTCTGATAATAACAACAGAGTGCAAGCAGGGACAGATTTTTTAACACTATTTTTTTTTCCATGATAAATGCCTTTTGTACGAAATAAAAATTCCATGTCAAGTAGGAAAAACAGCTTTCTTGTAACAAATTAACCCTTTTCATCCATCCAGAGCAAAACTGACCGACTGCATCGATAACTCAACAAGGCTTTTCTAATCTAAAGAAGCTTGAGCAAAAAAAGATTCCAAGTTGAATCTCACATCTTTTAGCATAACAGTAGTTACCTGTGAGCTAATAAATCTGATTTTACCCTCAACTTGGAATGCATATATAGGCAAACATTTTTTGGAGTAATAAATACAATGTTATGTAATAAAAATATGTCCTTAAAAACAATAAATGCACATTTTCTCTGCAAATATAAATTTGCTGATTATTATGTAATAACTGTGCACGCATCTTTCACTTTGTGCGCACTTTCATAGTCAATATATACCTGTCTCTCTCCTCGCCCGTTTCATCCAGAACCCAAGCATAGGCGAAGGAGGCTTTTCCTGCCTTTTTCGACTCCTGCTCGTACTTATGCATGGTGCGTTTGTTGACATTGCCGAGCAGATATAGCAGGTGGCCCATCAGTGTGCTCTTACCCGCATCCACGTGACCTGTAGAGAGAGGACTAGCACTGTAATCATAGCGCCGAGTTGAGGGAGAAAGTCATTCAAAAAGAAAATAGGCTCTAAGGGCGGGGAGTGTTAAAGGACTCTGATGAGGAATGGAGGGAGGGATAGACAGATAAGGAAAAGAGGAAGAATGTGCAAAGAATGATAAGACAGGTGGGAGGACTGAAAATGATAAAACAGCAAAGGGAAGCCACAGATTGGAGAAGGAAATAAGAATTGCACAAGTGGCAAGGGGGGTAGAAAGAAATGGGAAGAAGGATCGAAGGTTCTGGGGGGGGAGGAGAGGGTATCGTGGTAAAACGAAAGGTTTCATAGGCTGTGGGAAACTAGAATCATCTGCACTTCTGAAACTACCAAGTCACTTTTTCTGCTGTAACTGAGAATGAGAAATAATGATTGAGCAACTGAGCTGGTCTGAAGCTCGACTCATTTACTACATTCAACGGTGACATAGGCACAGCCAACCAAACAAGGGCAGCAAGAAGAGATCTTCAATATGATTAACTGCCCAACTGTAAATCGAAATATCAAGGCACTGAACACAGGTTCTAGAATATGAGGGGAAAAACCAACTCTGCAAGAAGTGCCCGATTTAAAAAAACAAAAAAAAGGAACTCCCACTCAGCATACTTTTGTGTATACTCCCAAATTTCGAAGCACTGTGACTGCTGATCTTTCTCTTCTTTTAACGTATAACTTGGATTTGCATGCATTCAAAATACCCCAAAGCGTTAAATGTTAAAGTACTATTTAACTGAGTGGTGCACAAAATAGTTCATAAAGGTGGAGCATTAATATTAGTATTTTCAGCCTACCTATAACTACCAAATTTAACAGAGGCTTGCCCCCTTGTCTCTTCTCCAGCTCAGCTTTGATATTGATGGCCTGCCGTGCCTTCCCAGATGAACGGCTCGGGGTGGGACCGGTCACGGGCTCGTCCCCGTTGGACCCTTTAGATGGAGTCTCAGGGCGTTTGGAGGCAGCTTCTGTAGCTGTGACGACAACACCGTTCTCCCCTGTACTGAGAAGAGAAATTGAAGTGTGAATACGCTTCTTTGCAACAACTGAAAATTATGTCTCGCAAGCTCTAATCTCCTTCTAACCAAACAGATCAGTATTTAGCTTTTGCTTTAAATTAAACCACAATTTTGCTAAAGGCTTAAATCACAGTCAAATAACTTTTTTTTTTACTGTTTTAAGAGAACAATCTGAACATGACAACAGGGGAAGGGTTAAGTTACCTTGGAACATCAAAACCCATAGTCTGCTTCTTTCCAGAGACGGTCATGCGGGCCACTTTTGGTAAAACTTCAGAGTCCAGTTTATTGTGAGAAGCATCTCTGCTTTTAGCTGAGAAAAATAAGAGACATAAAAAGGCAAACAAAGGCCTCCATGACTCACACTTTCTCCAAGGAGAAAAAGGTTTTCCGTTTGTTTTTTTTCCACTGTGGTCGCTTACATCTAGACTTTTCTGGGCATGCACTAAGATCAAGGTTAATATAGAAATATTAGCTAAACTAAAAGACATTAAGATTCAATCTTTCAACAATTATCAGAGTAAGTGAGTGGAGCAGCTTCAAACCTCAGATTCACAATGTGTCTAACCAGTCCAGAGAAATAATGTCAATATTTATTGTGTTATTAAGTAGATAATGTTTTGTCTGTGAAGGTTCTCAGTCATCCAGGTCATCGTAGTCAAAGGAGATTGCAAAGAAAAGCGTCTGGACTCCTTTAAGTTGCTTGAAGATAATGTTTTACAACACTCTAAAACAACCATGCACACATCAGTGATGTCCAACAGATTCAGGTAATGACTATTTTACTAGTTATGGTTGCACGTTGGCATATTCTTGAGAGCAGTAAGAGTGCAGATTGCAATAAGTTGCACTTTGAGCCTCATATCTATCTGATTGCTAGTTCATATTATGCAGCAGTGAGACTTGTTGAGGTCACTGCTTTGTCATCCCAGTCCCAAATGGCCACCGGTCCCAGTCATATCAACCCGTTTCTGATTCATTTAGACTGGGCTGCACAGCCAAGCCTACTGCACACACTGTGCGTCTGTGCGCGGCAGTGACATCCTGGTTCAGAAAGGGTTAATTTCAGAAGTGGCCGTTGCCTCCCGTCTCCACGTAAATAGATCAGTGTGACACAGCATTTCGCAGAATGAATCTTTTGAAAAGGTGTCACCTCAGCAAGTGCAGCACTGAAAGTGAATGCATCCATTATCACACACGCACACACGACTGATTAAAAAAATATGTCCATATATGCACAACAGAAAGCCTGAACTGCTACAAGGTGAAAAGGGCCTAAGATCTAATAAACTGCCACTTCTATTAGTCTTTATTTTATGTTCCTTTCCTTGTTGTATCAAAATAGGATAAACTCCCACACAACCCCCCACTGCATTCCTTCAGCATTTCTATAATGTGTTGGAGTGATAAAACAGTGGATATACCTTCATCTTCTAGCTTTTGTTTAGCATGAATTTTATGAAAACACTACAACTCTGTCAATCCTTGCATGTTTATACCTTTTGTTCATCATAAAAAATACCCTGAGGGAAAATGAGAGGAAAGAGGTGCGATTCAACAGAATATTAATGGACTTTCTCTAACCAAACACTCTCTGAATGACTTGCTCTGCATTAGAGAAAAAGTCCCTTTCACTCAGAAACATTGCGACACAAGTCAGCTCACCACACTCTAGTGAGGCTTTTTAAGTTAATGGCATTTGCATACTGTTGATTCCCACACACTTATCCATATCTACTTAAATGTGGAAAAAGGGGACAACCAAAGCAGAGCTTGCAACAACTGAGATAAAAACTGAAAAACTACACTTAAGAAATGACAAGTAAATCTAATCGACAAAAGAAAAAGGTTCAAAAAAGTACCACCGCTGCGATTAAATTACAGCAATTTTAAAAACACCACCTTCATATGAAATCTACTGTTTCAGTTTCACCTGTCCTGCAGTAAGCAGCAACATGAGATGGAAAAAGTACTCTCTGGGGAATTTTGGTTCTTCGTGCAGCTGGGGGCTTTTCTGGTCCTTGTTCAGTGACACAGAGGTTTCTACCACCTGTGTCAACAGGACATCAGGCCACTTGAAAACTTGAAAATCACTTACAATTCTGTATCTAAAGGAGTTGGAGCCCTCTCTAAAATCCAGTCAATTGCAAATCACCCAAAAACCTACATATTAATTGAAATTAGTACAAAGATAAAACATTAAGGGTCAAATTGGGAAATGTTATTGCCTTTTAAAATATGAATGTTAGCAAAATAGTTGAGATAGCAGTGCAAAATAAAACTATATATCATTTTCTTTGGTGTATAAAATCAAAAATATACTGGAATCTCTATATGCAAGGCCGTAAACCTCATAGCTCTGATCTTTAAGCAATAAAGGGCGTGGCATTGTAGTGCAGGGGTGCTTTATAAATTGTACACCTACCCAATGTTATTGCTGTCTATATACAGAATACCAAGTACTGAGGACAATGTAAAATCTACAAATACCAATACTGAGCTTCAGGCCCCGAGACAGGGTCCTTGACAGACAGCCACTGACAGTCTGTCTGTATATAAAAAAAACAGGCCAGCAACCATGATGGTAGAGAGACGGGGTGGGTTTGTGCATTTGGATTAGCTGCACAGCTGTAAATGGTATATACAGATTCTGGACCAGGATCATTTTTCATTCAATCAATCGATTAATATAATTTGACAGTAGTTCAAATTATGGTCAACTGATTTCATTCTTATTCATGTTTCACATAAGAGTCACAACTGTTTTTGGAAACAAGGCTAACACTGCCTCGTTAGAGCAAGTAAGAATGATACGACAACTGGGAAACTCTAATGAATCTACCAATACACACTGTGATTAAAAAAATACATCATGCTCTAAAGTATGTGACAGGTTCTTTGCTTCTTTTAAAAAAAAAAAAAGTTTTTTCAAAAAGAAAAAAGAAAAACCAAACATTCTGCTGTACTCCTTCAAGTTCTTAAGCAAATGTCAACCCCCTTATTAACTGTGCATGTTGCTTTGTCAAAACACTGCAACACTTTTCCAAACAGGATGGTAACATGAGAAAAATGATTCGGCGCAATATAGCTCCGAGGCGCAGAGCAGGATCTTTTACCTTGTTTGGACTGGTAAGTAAACACATGGTATCCTTCTATCCAGGATTTCTCTATTATAGGGGACCCTTAGTGTGACTGAATGAGTAAGTGAGTCATCTTATTCATGACAGAATAAAGGGAGTGCACCCAGGATATGCAAATCAAACCTTCCTTGTCTGTCCAAACACAGAAACGCAGTGCGGACAAAAGAAAAGGTGAGGGGTGGGGCAAAGACTACACCAACCACTTGAGGCCGCTACAGCCTATGAGACATATAAGGTGTGTCGACTTTATATCAAAATATCTAAAGAGAGACAGGGGTGGGAGTGGGGAGGAATAGGGGAATATTTGAAGTGAGTCACCTAACATTTCTGAATGTGCGCCAGTTTCATCTCTAATTTGTATTGTTACAAAAAACGAAAAAAGGGAAATTAGTAATTAAGAATATATGTAAACCAGTTTAAATCTATTGTTAATTACACGATTTCAACCATAAAGGCTGGAATAAAAATCCATGGGGATCTTCGGTTTAAATTTAGTCCATCTTCTACCCTAAACTTGTGGATCTATTCTCAATGAGACAATCTGGGAGTCAAACTTCATTCATGTTTGAAAAATAGATGGAAACATGAATGAAAAAGAGACTGCTGGTGGAGGCAAAAGCTGTGAGTAGGATCTGACCCCTTTCACGATGAGTCATACAGACCCACAGTGTCAGTACCACAATTGAAGATTTCATAAAATATATATACATCTGCTTCTGTGACTTCCACCTACTCAGCAGTTAACCTTTAGTCACAGAAGCTACTTGAAATTCTCACCTAATGTGTTTTTATAGTTCAAAACAGGTCTATAAAGAGACTGTCTCTGACCTACAGCACGACAACCTACAACTTTAATGTACACTGTGGTTTACACTGTTGTCTAAAAAAAAAAGAGATTGACATAGTTATTTATTTCTATTTTAAGTGACATTATTGTTCAGTGCTTTCTTGTTTGAGGAATCTAGAAGTGAACTTTAATGACAGACATAACTGCACATCTGCCCCTTCTGCAGAAAGAACGCCAAAAGACCCGCATGGAAAAATAAACAAGTCTCTATGCCAACTTTAACAGCACCATGCATCAAGCAGGGTAATGATAGTAACGATAGTGAGGTTTTGAAATGACACACTGTACTGTGGCTGGACTCAAGTACTCACATTCTCAAGGGTTACTGTACATGAGCTTTTACCTTATTCCTGTTCAAACCTACATTTTGAGTCATAATTATATTCACACATTAAGATCTCTGTCATCTGTATGTTGCTCATGCATACAGGACCTTTTTCTGCACTTTTACATTATAAGAGTAATTGCCACTGGATGATTTATTTTTCTGCTACACAGTGTTTCATATAAAATTAGTTGGAGAAACATTTCAAATCTTAACTACTTTAAGAAACTGTGACTCTTTTTTCATGCACATTTGTTAAGTTATCCCAAAACCACAACTTAACAACCCTCCCACCACCAAAAAAAGGTCCAAGGGTCATACACTACATGTAATGCTTTAAGAATAAAACTACAGAAGTCTTAGTTTAGCAAAAGTTGATAGTGATTGGGAGAGCCTAGAAATCTGAATTTACCATTTATAACAAGCTGCTTAAATATGGTTTTAACAACACTTTATTACAAGGTACACCTTGCTAACCCTGGTTTGGACCCACTTTTTTCTTCAGAACTGACTTAATTCTCAATGGCATAGATTCAACATGGTGCTGGAAACATTCGTCAGAGATGTTGGTCCATATTGAGGTGCTTGCGTGACACAGTTGCAGCAGATTTGTTGAATCCACATCCCAACATCCTTGATGAGAATGTCCCGATCCACCACATCCCAAAGGTGCTCTACTGGAGTGAGATCTGTTGACTGTGGAGGTCACTAGAGCTAAAATAAAACTGATGTTCAAGAAACCAGTCTGAGATTATTTCAAGTTGCTCATGCTCAGTTTGAAATTCAGTACATTGTCTTAACCATGTTTACATACCTAAATGCATTGAGTTGATGACATGTGTTTGGCTGATTAGATATTTGTATTAATGAGCAGTTAAACAGAAGTGTATGCTCTCTAGCATGGATTTCTTGGGTGCGTTGCTTGGGAATGTTACCAATATATGTCTGGGCAAATGATATGTCCAGGCAGGTCGCCCAGGCATACTACAGTCTGTCCAATCCCATGTATTGCACTGAAGCCTGGCCATAGCGGGCAATGCTGTTGGATTTATACTGACATGTTAGTATTAGGGGCAGACGTTATAGTCTCAAAATTATATCACGATATTACAGAATTGTAGTGGCACAGCATAAGTCAACTGTAAGCAGAAAACTAGCCTATCAGGTTTTTCCCTGGACCATTTAAGTAGAAAATAACCACTTAACACTTTAACAATAACTCACACTGCAAGAGCTGCACAGCACTGTTACACAAACAAATTCAACCATATTTTCTACATGGGATGTTGTATCCCAGTTTGCGCTTTTAAACCAGTTGCCTAAAGCCCTGCTTTTCCACTGTGTAACCACATCAGTAATTTCCATCCACCGTTTGCTCTTACTGTTGTATGGAGCATAATTAGCAAGTGTTCAGGCAGTTTTTGGTGGAGTCATTTGCTGACATTTGGGACGATCATCCCTGCTAGCATCTCTTCCTTTGTAGAACTTTCTTATACTTGACAGGTTGTTTCTGCCTCAAATGGTGAAACACATTTATTTGTTGCTTCCACCTTTAGCTGGAATAGTTTTCTTTCAGTTTTCTTTCTTTCTCAACAACCCTCTTCTTTGTTAGAGGGTTGTTGAAGCAGCTCCATTTCAAATATTCAATCGAAAGCTCACATGTGGCTCTAAGAAATACCCGAGTTTGTCCCCTGGTTGGATGCAATAAGAAACATAAACGCCTGGCATTAAATTTAAAAATAAATTACTATTATACTTGTATTACAAAACAATACCACATGGCACAGCCCTAGTTAGTATGTCTGCATTGCTCTGCCATCATGAGTCAAACTGAGCTGTCAATGCCAGACTTGAAAAAATCAAATCGTGATCAAGATACATTTACTGAAATGCAGGAAGATAGAAAGACTAAAGACGCACCAGAGTCTACGCATGTATAATTTAAAAAAACTATATGTTTACACTGTTTACACTGGCAGAATTATAAATTAGCAAAATAAGGAAGTGAGATATAATTACAGCCTATTATATCGTGTTTTACAGAGCTATAATCTTACTAATCCACTTACTAGGTTTGCAACATACATTATTACCACACAGACCTATCACAGTTATTGAGGTCTGTGTCAAGTCTACTGTTACAATTCTGGGATGTGCACATCAGAAAATGATGTAGCCTAAGGCTTGGTGATATGGGCCTATGCATCGAGGAGTACTCTGTTACCTGGACAGCAACTCCACTGCTTGGCGGGGGGGGGGGGGGGGGGGAGAAAAGCCTGGACCCTGACAAAACTTTAAAATAGAGTTATAGTTACTGTTTCAGCTCATATTAGTAGCTGATATTTGGGACAGAAAAAGAGCTAGTGAGTGCCTCCAAAGATTTTCAGCTACTGGAAACCGCTAAACAGCTTTCAGGCAAAGTATGAGAACCACTCACCCAAACAATTTCATATTCAAAATCACATTTTGTGACAATGATTGCATAGTAAATACTGAACAGAGAGATTCCTTGATTTGTAAGTCAAATATTCCTAACAAAGATTTCTTTATTTATAAGTAATATGTGGTCGTTTAAATGTGTAACATGTTTACTTAGTACAGTATATATATTTGCACGATTGGTATTAGGAAGTAGTAGGACTAGCATGTTAACTCCTGGGAAAGTGTAGCTGTTAACAAATTTGAGGAACTACTGTGCATGCCAGCTGCATGTTTTTTTTTTTTGTTTTTTAAAAAAAAAAAAAAAAAAAAAAAGACATTTAGGATTTGTCTTGCATTCAACCACAGCACTGAGGTCAAATGTTCTGAATGCAAAATTTTCCATTTTGCCCTTTAACAGAACACACACCACAAAAAAGACATAATACTGACGCATGTAAGTCCAAGTGCATCTGCTTATTTTTGACCACTTGTTAGAACAATAGTATTTTCCAGAGTTGGCACCACTTCAAAACCATAGTTTGTGCAACATGTATGCCTTGCAAGAAATGCAGAGCCTGTAAAGACACAAAGAGGATTTGATCTGTCACAGCCTTTGTGAAAGCTGTGAAAGTTGAGAGGCTTGATCAGATTTTCCTACGTAGGTGGTGTATAAGAGGCACAGCAGTCTATCGGCTGCTGTGCAGAGTCGACATGTGCTTGGCTTGACATTTTCTCCAAGAGTGCAGCTTCCTGCACAAACCCACACAGCGGCTCCCCTTGAGAAAAAAGGACAAATAGCTGCTGGACAAAACCACTTGCTAATAACAACTTGTTCATCTCTTGATTCCCTGAAAAAAACAAAAACACTATAAAAACACTCTGGACCTGCACATTTTCACACAAAACAGACCACAACACGTCCAGGGCATCTAATTATTTCCAAACACCATTTTCCAAGGACTGCAAGCTTTGTACACTGAAAAACCTGTTTCACCTCTAATGTTTATCTTGCTATTGTTAACACTAACTGTCCTTTATCATTTATCATCTCCCTCAGGCTCTCCTTTCTGGAAGACACCCCGGGGGTCCAGTTTACTCTCTGCACCTGCATGACGTTTACTCCTCTTCTACCAACATGAATTCCCACTTAAAACAACAATGAATGAGTAAAAAACAAGAGTGTCAAAACCAGAAATGCCTCAAGACACTTTAGCATAACCGTTTAAAAATGGAAGCTTTACTGGAGATAAACAATGTTTTCTTTATAAAAATGTCTCTTTAAAAACAGGCAAATGCTCTGTTAACTGGTAAAGATACCACTATGACCAACTGTTTATTGTCCTATACTGGCAGTTTACTATACAATTATACATTAAAATAGAGCACTTTAAAATTCATTAGGTAGGATTAGTTCCTTACAACAAGCCAAAAAACGTGTTTAACACACGCACATTCGCAAAAACTGAAGAAGACTAGACAGAGGTTCACTCAGAGCACATAAAGTCAATCATCTTTATTTCGAAACAGACAAATTAACCTTTGGCAGTGTGCGAAGACACACCCAGTGTAAATTAAACCCATGTATACAAAACGAAATTAAAATCTTTTTACTACAGTATGAACGCATTTACTTTGACTAATTCAGTAAAAGTATATAGTGCTTTCATGCAAAAAAACCTGTTTTTCAATATTTAACAGTTAAAAGATTTTGCTTGTCTTTGTGTTTTCGTTTGCGTGTCTGTACGCATATGCGTATGTGTTCCTCTTCCCTCATGGGAAAATCTCCAGGTGTCCTCTAAACCAAAAAGTCAAACCCATGATCTCAAACACAGGCAGCAGTAAACCAGTACAATGGTTAACTGATCCATATTCCAATAGCTGCAGCACACCTGCAAACAAAGTCAACCTCTTTTGTCTTTTGAGGGTTCATGCAGCTCAGAAAAAAGTCACATCTAGAGTATACATGAACTTTCTCTTTGCTGTGATCATAAAAAAATTAAAAAGCCATTGGCCTTCGAAGCATACAAAAATAAGACTACATTTAAAATGAAGGAGAGAAAGCTAACTACAGCAATAAGAAACAAAGATCTTTCTAAAAGTTCCTAAAATACTTAAATTGTTCTTTGAAGATTTGCTTGGGTTAGCTAAGATTATTGTTAAGCTGCCAGAGTGAATTCATTTCTCTTTGTTCTGTATGTGTTCACTTAAAAAAAAAATACATAAATGCTTGAATAATCTTCTATTATTTTTTTAACCAGTGATCAGAGTCAGCATGTCATTTTGTTGGACCCAAAAGTTCCTTTACTCCCCTTAAATGAGTGCAACCCTGAGTGCTGCATCTCTGGGTTTAGTTCAGTGATAAGAGCAAAAGGGCCCAGATAGAAGTGGGGTTCTCATTCAAAGCAAGTCAAGTTAGCACCAAGGTAGATGCAACTGAATTAAGCGCTTTCCTTGTGGCTACCTGGTGAAAGCTTTCCGCTGATTAGCACGGACGATGTCATCAGGCGAAGGGGTGTCGAAGCGGAAAGGTACAATCGGCAAAAGTGTGGGAAGCTGCTGTTTGGATTTCTCCTGCGACTGAGAGAGGAAGGCCTTGTAATAACTTCCTCTCCTCTGACCTTTTATTTTTCCCTTCAGTACATTTTTCATCCTCTTTTGTCTTCTGCTAGTCTGAACAGACAGAGTAATCGCAAACACTGATGGTTTTGCAAAAACGGAAACATCCAACCCCAATGCAAAAGCAGCTGGAGACATGGGTGATGGGAGGTCACTTTCAAGCTGATGGAGACCTTCTCCATGTGACTGGGCCATCAGTGAAGTCAGATCAATAGTGTGACCTGGTTTAGGTTGTCTGAAGATTTGGTGGTATGGTCTGTGGTCGAGTTCACACTTGGCACCACCCTCTGTAGCACTCTCTTCTGACATGCCAGTCTTCTCTGGTTTTGCTGGTGAAAAGAGCGACGTGAGGGAGCACTGTGACCCATTTGAGGTGGTTGAGGTTTTGCTTTTGTGTTCAGACACCATATGTGACAAAGAGAGCTGCTCAGAGAGACCAGGTGGTTGCTTCAGTGCATTTTCTGGAGATTCAGAGCTGAAAGGCTTGGGGGAAGTTGAGAAACTGTTGCTGTAATGCTGCGAGGCAAGCTGGGACAATGAGACAGTGCCAGCCAGACATGGGGGAGTGATGCTATTTATTTTTGATGAGGAGAGAGCATTCGCTAGTCTTTCAGTGCTTTGTGATTGAGGGGAACTCTTTCTGTTTTGGTGCTGGGAAGCAAGTTCGCACAGGGATAGTGTTTGTGCTGGTGCGGCCATTCCCTGAAACATTGCAGATGGTATGCTGCTTTGAGGAGTAAGGAGAGAGTTACTGAAAGCTGGGCTTCGATTTGAGTGCTCCTGGATTAAATCGGCCAATGTTGGGCTACCCTTTGAACCACCCAGCATGGCTTTGCCTCCAACCCCAACAGACTGCTGATTTTTCTGCACAACAGAGCTGAGACTCCCAAATCCAGGAGGAGCAGCCATAGAAGAGCCTGCAGCTGCTGTCTTGGGGTTGTTTAGCGATAGACTACTGAGTGAAACTGAAAGGATGGAGGGAGGAGAGGTCGGTGATGCTGATAACGTCTTTAAAGATGCCAAAGCTCCCAGTGAAATACTACTCTGACTAGACATAATGGATGCTGTTGTTGTTGCATTTAGTCCTTTGTTGAATGAGGAAACGTCCAAGCCCTGCCTTGTGTCAGCTACTACTGACCCCTTATTCTTTTGCTCGTGCTCAGAGATGAGCTGTGCCAGACTACCACCACTGCTAACACCTGGGCTAATGTTTTTAAGGCTAAAATCCTGCTTTTCACAGCTGCCGGCATTTGGTTGAGATAAGAGGTCACATAAGCTGGGTGCTTTTAGTTCGGGTATATGTAGATGTGCATGTTTGTGCCCATGTGTGTTGGCTTCATGTGCCTTGGACGTCATGTCTGTGTGAGAAGAAGACAAGCAGGCTCCTTACCTTACAAAAGCCAAGTGCAGTTGTCGAAGAGGAGGGGTGAGGGGGACCACAGAGCAGAAGTCAAATCAATCATATAGTAAAAAAAAGAGAAAAAAAGACAGAAAGAAGGCACTTTGTTAAACATTTGTATCACTATACAAATTTGTGTGAAATCAACAAAGAACACTACTGGCTGTTAGGCTTCCATACACCCAATAATGACACATATTTATATAGAAGTACTAGCAGCAGTGACCTATGTTGACTGCGTTTGAGGAGGAAATGGGAAATACTTATCTTGGAACACCCACCTATACAGAAAAATTTTTTCATAGCTATGAAACTCCACAGAAAACCCAAATCTGTTATACAACCCTTTAAATGCCACAAATTAACGTCCTCCCGGTGTGTTACTACACTGAATCACTCAGGGGTAACAGTTTTTAATCAGTGAAACAATTTTATTTTGACCCACTCAAGGTGTACCTTTGTCAGCCACAGCCTCTTGTTTGGTTCTTTGTGGTTGCGGCGCTTTGTCCTGGTTAGCTCGCTCTACTGTACCAGTCTCTTCAGCTGTACTTCTGGTAACTGGAGCAGTTTTAGTGTCTTCAGACAGTACTGCGTCCAGTGCCCTCTGTGGGTCAAATCCACATTTTATGGCCGCCTGGGTCAGGACTGAGTCCGGCACTGCATCTCCCAGCACAGTCCGCATGTGGTCCAGACAGGAATACAGCTTGGCTAAAGAGTACAGCAAATGTTGGACACACACAATAGATTTGTGATCCATACAAAAAGCACAAATTTTAAAAAAGACATCAAAAGTTTAAAGGACAAAATGAACTGGTGCATTGAACCTTTAATTGTAAAAACACAAAAAACAAGTTGAGAAATGTTTATATTCTGATACGCAGTTGTGTGCTCAAAAATACTACCTTGATCAAGAGGGTTGAGATTCTGGTTGACAGTAGGGGACACAGGGACAGCCTCATCTTCAAATTCTTCCTCCTCTAAAGGCTCTTCCCTTGGTGCATGTCTTTCTTGACGTGAGTAGATGAACTGATTTGCTAGATAAGCCAAAACCATTTAATTTTAATAGTAGATTATACGTTATCATATATGATGTCTACTTAATGTTGCATATTTTCAAACTTAAACTGGAAATGCAAGCAACTATTGTTATCAATGAGTGTAATGAAAAAAAGTTATTTATTTGAAAATGCAGTGTCAGACAGATTCAAATTAGTCTGCTCCATCTTCACTATGCATCAATGGTAACCAACCTGTTGCTGGTGAAATGCAACAGTAGTCATCCTCCACAGACTGTCCATACATGTCATCATCTTCAAAGTCTGAAAAAAAGAAGAAAAAAACAACACTTAGATGGATACCTTTGCTCATTTTGTTGTGCCTCACACAAACAGTCGTATACACAATTGCAGTAAAGTCCCTTTATGCCAGCTGTGACTTTGCTTTGTCAGCAACTTTATGAATGCCACTGCACACTAGAAACCTGGAGATTTTCCTCTAATCGCTTAACTCTACGCTTTATTTACAGATATATTCCGCAAATTTACAACATTGGGAGATTTGAATGTAAAGAAGAGCAAGTAAGGAATCTGGTGTTATTGGCACAAACAAAACACTGGATAGTTAGCAAGCTAGGCAAGTAGCTAGCAATAACCTGAGTAAACATTAGTAAATTTAGCAGTTACACACACCTCACATCAAATTTTTTTACTATAACATTAATCCAAAATCTTGGGTTTGCGTGGGTATTAGTAATTACTGTCGTTATGGGACAATTTACCATACGCTAGGTGCCAAATGACACGACAACAGTGGGATCTTGCCAGTTAAACGAGCTAGCATTAGCTGCTACAGCTACTGAGTAACTGTAAACTTTAGCTTAGCTGTAAACAGCTAACTGGTTTAGCTCTTAGACGCCTTGCCGCGGCATTTAAATGAGAACCGTTTTTGCCATCTACCTTCATCGTAGTTGTAACCTCGAACATTTCTATGACGAGACATGTTGATTATGCCTCCTCTCTCGGCGCCACTGTTATGTTATTCGGTTCACGGACATGTGTCCACTGCCCAGCGAAGCTCCTGCAGTTGCTGCTGTGTGAAGCTAGCCTACCTTAGCAGGCAGGTCACAATAGATTCGACAGTCACGCAAATACATAAATGTAAACACAACACACAAAAAAATAAAAACAAACAAACGTATTTGTTGTAATTACGTCATTTCATCGACGTCGAGCTTCTGCATAATTAAAGTAAAATAAATAATAATAATAAAAAGTTTTTTTCTTCGCTGACGTAACTTCCGTTTGTAGTTGGCATAAGATCTCAACGGGTTTCAAAACGTTTACGCTGTCAGACCTATATTACACTGGATTTATTTACAGCTACAACTCTGTGCATCCGTCAGAGTAAAGTTCTGCAAGCCTAAAATAGTACTATAAGTTGCACCCCATATAAAAAAAAAGAAGCATTGCACTACACGTCGAGTTTAACAGTAAATAATAAGAAATAACACAAACCACAACAGAGAAAGAAAATAAATTATGTCGCAAAGAAAGAGAAAACAACCCATAAAATGGAAAAGTTATAATAAAATTACTCTTTAAAACAAAGTGAATGGCTGGGAGAGGACTCTGTCTGACGGAGATAAGAGTATCACAGGAAAATAAGAGAGGTGTGAGGTGGTATGAAATACAGTCTGTAAAGTGTTAGATTTTCTCAGGTGTTAAGTGTCCATGGTGTGAAGAGGGTGGGGGATGCAGCATTTCCTTTAAGCCCTATAGTCTTTTTGCCACCAGGCATCAGGCACCTATAGCAATGGCTGAAAAAAAGAAAGAAGAAAAAAAATTTGCAGAGCTGGGCCTCACATGTGGTGATGCTCGCTGACCTGTGGTTTCTCAGGCTGTGCTTGAATTATATATTTTTTATGTTTAACAGGAACAATACTTGTAAATATTTGCTGCACTGAAGCAGAGTGAAGTTTTCCATTTTGGTAGGACACTGTCATAGAAAGATAGAAGCAAATAGGTGAAGAAAATCAGACCAAAACAAAGAAGTGGGGGAGTGTCTATGTGACTCATATCAGTAATAACTGACCTGGCTTAGTTTTCCTGTAACAGCAAAAGCAAATGTTTTTATTTGTAGTTACACTAGAGTGGTGGCCCCATGATCGGAAGGTCAGGGGTTCGATTCCCCTGAAGAGGTACCCCTGAGCAAGGTACCCCTGAGCAAGGTACCGTCCCCACACACTGCTCCCCGGGCGCCCAATGGCTGTCCACCGCTTCACTGAGTGAATTGGTTAAATGCAGAGAGGAATTTCCCCACGGGGATCAATAAAGTACACTTTCTTTCTTTCTACACGGCCTTAAAGATCTGTGGATCTTTAACTGTGAAAAAGGCCTGACAAAATGATAAATAATGTTCTGATTTGCAGTTTTTTAGTCTTTTTCATTTTAACTGTTTCCCGCTTGGATGTTTACGATGGGGTAACCCTTTTTTCTCTTTCTAAACATAATTGTAACCTGTTTTCAGAGTATTATGCCTGGGTGTGCATCACAAGCTAGTGAACGTGATCTCTGCTTTTACAGCTTATAGGGCTACGTTTGAAAAAAAAACAAAACAAAAAAAAAAACAGGACCAATTCTAATTGTTGTCCAGCCACATCTTTAATGATTCATTGAGGTGTCAAAACTCATCATTAAGGTCATTTAAGGTCATCGATCATTTGATCTTCAATTTCTGAGGCAACACTTAAAAGGCCAATATATAAAAATCTCAAACCTTGATTTATTTAATTCCACAATTTTGCCATCTTATTGGCTTCAGTGCCGATATTTTCAAAGCTTCCCCCCGAATAGGTTGTGCACCAGATGGTGCTGGGACTTTTGCCCCCGAAGCTCTGTGTTTACAGTGTATACATGAGGAGAAGGCTGATGACTGTCTCTGTAGTTTCGATGACTTACTGCAGAGATTTCCTCTTGTTCCCCACGGTGTTCCCAAACTCCACTTGTCAGAATTCTCAGCGAATCCTGTGCAGGCCTGCATGGCTAACAGCTGAATCTGACCTTCCTCTGCACCGATGAAGTCATGCCGTTCTTTTTTTACAGGGTTTTTTGACCCAGCTCAGGTGTTCAGATTTTCTAGTTTTAAGTTATACGAAGGAAACACCATAATGTTTCAAGCAAACAAACAAACAAACCAAAACTTAATATAAAAGGGATAATGCACCATGCACTCTCTCAAGAAAAAGAAGAAAAAAAAACAAGTGAACTGAAAGAACTCGAGCCTGCTCACTTGAACTACTATGCGCATACAAATTTGAATCCCACCTTTGATTTTGGGGTGTGAATGACTATTTTGTCAAAGGTTATCGCCTATGGTTAGGGGCCAACCCATCTGAGCCCACACTACACCTCAAACAAACACTCAGTGACATCATATTTTCCTGCTATCTTTGTACCACAAGAAATCTATAGCCTGTCTACCACAAAGGGGGAGAAGCGAGAAGTGTATATGTGTGCCCTTTTTTTTTTAGTAACATTTCATGTGCTTGTTTATCTGCGAACTGGTCTGCAACATGCCCCTTTTTTGGTGTCAGATATGCTTGCAGATGTATGCATGTTTTGTTTTTTTGATGCATCTTATTGCCTCAATGAAAGGGAGGATGATGAAAATGTCAGACAATAATCTGATAGCAGCGATGCAGGTGAAGTTTACAGCATGCATCTGCACGGTGAAATGAAATATGAGGTCTGGCGTGTCTCCCCCTTGCTAAAAATAGAACAGAATAAAGAACGGCTCCTGCTTAGGTAATTGTGAAGACTTTTTCACGATTGATGGCTCATATTGCAAATGGCAGTTTGACGAAGATCAGATTAACAGAGGTTGGTAAGAACAATGGGGGGGGGGGGGGGGGGACGACACTCATATCGGGAGGGGGACGTCAGTGTAGAAGATGATCATTTGTTTTACGTAAAAGTTTGCCCACGTGTGTGTGTGTGTGTATGTGCCTTTGCCTGCGCATGCATGTGTGACCCTGAGTGGGTGGAGGTTTCCCCTCACAAAAAGAAAAAATTCCACTTCCTGCATTTTGAAGTTTTAGCTGCACATCTACATGTCAAAATAAACAACTGCATATGCATACATGTGCAGTTGTTGTTCATTGCACAGTTTACAGGGTCACACAGGTGACAGAGGGAACTCTTCCTTTACATCAAAATGTTTCTAGGACATTGTACAAACTAAACACTTCAAACAGCACCTGATGCAAGATGGAAATGGAACATATTGCATAAGGGAGAAGACAAGTATGCCAAAAAAAGAAAAAGAAGTCAATTGAAACTAGAGTAGTCGGTCTCTGCAGCATTTCTCTTGCATTGTCCTTGGTCAACATAACCTTTTGAGATTCAAAACAAAACGGAGACTTGTTAAAAAAAAGAAAAAAACGCCACAACTTCAACCAACCAGTCTTTGACACAGTGCTATGCAATGATTGTTTGTGTGTGTGTGTGTGTGTGTGTGTGTGTGTGTGTGTGTGTGTGTGTGTGTGTGTGTGTTTTATTTGCTCTCTGCCACCTTGATGCAATCACATATAGAGATGAATCAAACATGCGTTCGTGTTGCAACAAGGAGGTGTGATCATTTCACACCTTCACACAGGATCTGAACACTTGTTTCCTTTCAAGGGCTTTTGAGCACTCGCCGGACAAATCTCTGTTGCCGCAGAGTTTACAGAAAGTCTGATCAATTAATCAGTGGCAGATGAGTGGGATTTCTGAGAGAATGGATTCTGCGCTGATTAAAAGGATTAAACAGATGGATGGACAGATTGCTGGAAGAATGATGGGATCAGAGGATAATTGCTTTGTTTGATTTTAAACCTGTAAATTATATCATTTTTTTCATCAAATTAAAATAAGGATGTTTGCATTTGTCACACCACCTCGAAATGAATTACCAAACATTTCACGGGATCTGCATGATAGCTCCCGAGAAATGGAACACGGTGGTGTCTGTGGAGTCAAGTGAAAGCAGAGGGTTGCAAATATTGGTGACAACAACATGTACATTTGCAAACAGATTAGTCTGCTGTAATTGTAGAAGACAAAGCCTTTGTGCATGTGCGTGGGGAGGGGGTGAGGTCCCTTTAAAGGTTGGCAGTAGGTACCGGGGAACACTTTACATAATTTTCCAAGGGCCCCAGACATGATGGGAGCGCATTTTCACAGGAACTCACCCTCACCCTCGGGGAAAATGCAAAACATACACCCTTTGCAGTCAGGTGGGCAAGTAGTCCAAACAACTAAAGTACACACAGATGATACATAAAAGGTATTTAAAGTAGCAGGTTGAGAAATTAAAAGATAATCACATTCAAATCCATAAATGCTGAAGGAATGGAAATAGTGGTTTTGTTTTTTTGTTTTTTTAAGAAAACAACCGAAAAACATGTGTTTTGTTTAATTTTCATGTCCTCGCTACATTCATTAAACATGTATCAGTAGCTAAAATATGAAATATCTAACAATCGATTAAAAATATAAAAATTCCCACTGGTTTTAGGCATGTGATATATTTTTTAAAATACACATTTATTCTCAGTTAACAATTAGTAAATATGTAGCTACATACCCACACATAATCACGTTAACCTTTCTGGTGTTTCCAGTGCTCATTTAGATGCAAGCACATACGGCCTTCCCGACACTGTGCACAGAATCTTGTAGGATGAGACCATGAGCCATCATTAAAATCATTCAAATGAACCACCCTGTGCACACACTGTTTTGCAAAGGGGGTAGCTATCACAATACCTCTCCTTAACCTGCCCAATAGCACCCATGCAAATGTCCCCAGCTAAAGAGTCAATGGGCTTTGGGCTTCCTCCTCAGCCTTCTACAAAGGAATTTTCATATACCCCTGCTCCTTTCTTTCAGTTTGGTTTCAGATGACTCAAGGTAGTTTTACATATTACCCTCAAAGAAAAAGATACATCTGGGGCCTGTGCAGAAAACACACACACACTTTTAATTTCCGTCTTTTCTTCCAAGTGATCCCAAACTCACATGAAGATTGCTTGTTTACTGATGTCCCTGTTTTACTCACCTAGAGTGGCACTTGAATGTTTCTGTGTCCTACAGAATGTTATTTCTGCAGAAATATCCTCAAACCATCATTGCGCTTTAAAATGATCTGTTGATGCTCAGAGAAGGTTACACAACCATCTCTGGAGTTTAGACTTCTTCACTTCA